TCCAGAAAGAATTTCAAAATGCTTTCCATTTTGAGCATGACTAAGAAGCATACATTTATATTTCTATTTGTGTTTTTGGCTTTCATTTTGTAATGTCCTGGTTTCTTTTTTTTTCCTTTGCAATTAGGACATCTGATCTCCATTCCTAGCATGGAGCTTTCTTGGTCAGTTAGATAAATATCCCATTTTTGTAGGTACCAATTTTATTCAGATGAGATTTGTCCTTGCTTTCCTTTGAGGCTGAGAGAGTGAGATTTGCCCAAGGCTACCCAGTAGTTTTCCAAGGCCAAGCAGGGTTTCCAACCCTGGTCTCCCAGAGTCTCCCAGCCCGATGCTCAAACCACTATACTGCAGGGAATCCTTACACACTACAGATTACCAAACCTCAAACGAAAAAGTCGAGCCTCACACTACAAACTACTAGACCTCAAATTACAAACTCCTCAAACTCCAAACTACCCAAGTTACCAGGCCTCACACTACAAACTATGCTTCACAGTTGACCATGCTAACTCGGAATGGTGAGAGTTGCAGTCCCAGCAACATCTGGAGGGGAACAAGTTGTCCAAACTGGCTTGAAAGAGTATAAGCATCATTTTGTCCTTTCTTATCACAGCTTTATCTCTCCCCAACTGAAATATAGGATAGGTCTGTAGAAGAGGGTAAATCTTGAAGTCTTCTAGGCATTGGATTGCAAGTCCTAGCAGCCCTAGCCAGCACAGCCACAGAGGAGGAGTGCTGGGAATTGAGTTCAACATCTGGAGGGCTGCATGCTTGCTATCCCTGCTGTAGAGCAAAGGTGAACAACTGTGTCGGGGACTAAGGGCCTATTTTCCCCTGCAGTCCTTCTGAAAATTATGACTGAAAGTGGTATTGCATTGCTTCCTGTCACCATCTTGAGAAGGGTGCAGAGGAAAGAGATATTTTGGCAGTATGGAATTCTGGAGTGATTTAGGGGATGGGAGTATATTTATGTGTGCTTTTACAAATCTGGGAAGTTTTCTGCATGATTTGGGGTCCCAAAATTGCCTCAAAATTGTACCAACATTTATTTTTAAGAAATGAGGGGGGGGTTGTTGGAGGACTTGTTGCAACCTTGGTTGCACGTCTCAAGGTGTGTGTACATGTGTTTGTGTGTTGCAGGGCTCTGCCCTCAAGTGCACTCTTTCAGTGCTTCAGCATTTTGCAATCTGCAAGGCATACACAAAGCGCCACCCCCACCTGCTCCCACAGCACCTGCACACTGTTTGCACATAGTCTAGGGAAGAGCTCCATTTACACACATCATGCACAAACCACCATCACATGCTACCTGTCCTTCCCACTCTTGTCCCCTTGTTCCTCCTTTAATCCAACCCACAGAACAGAGAAGCTGGGATATTCCTCCACGAACATGCCTCCAAATTTTATCCTCAGTATAACCTTCAGATCAGAAATCCTCCAAGTCCTGAATTATAAAAATTTTGGTTTTAAGAAAATAATGGTTTGACTCCACTAAAGAATCCTAGTGTCTCTATGGCCTCTCCCTCTGAAAATAAAAAGATTTTTTTTCCTTTTGGATTGTCTCATCAATGATCCAAAATCTAGAGTTTGTAATTTATTGCATCCCTTACCAAATTTCAAAATGTTCAGAGTCCAACCTGAAGTTCAGTTTAGCCTGACTATTTCAACTCTGGATTTTGTAACTTATTGCAGCTCTTGCCAAATTTCATAAAGTTCAGAGTCCAACTTAAAGTTCACTTTAATCTGACTGTTTTCAGATCTAGAGTTTGTAATTTATTGAAACTCTTACCTAATTTCAAAACGTTCAGAATACAGAGAGAGGCTAAGATGTTTGCACCTTTGCTATGTCCATGACAATGTCCCTACAAGATAGATTCAGGGAACCATGTGGCCCTCCAGTTGTCATTGGACTGTAGCTCCCAGCAGCCTGAGAGCCAGCAGAGATAGTGGTGAGGAATGCTAGGCATTGCAGTTGACTATCTCTGGAGGTCCACTTGATTCTGAACTATGGTGTAAGTGCACAATTGCCACACATTTGCCAGAAGCAGTGTTGCCAGGCTTTCCAAATAGCAATGACAGACAGTCGAAACTCATCATGTGCAGGGTTGATAATCAGGAGGTAGCTATGAACAAGTTTCTGTTTTGCCTAAGTACCAAGTGAAAGTATTGTTTTTGGTTCATTTACCAGTGTTATTTCTCTGCAAAATTAACATACTGTCCACTTTTGCATAATGCACACATTTGTGTCTTTATGGGAGGCTCACACCAAAAAAACAAACAAACCCATAGAGTTTTTCTGACATTGTGTTCAGTATATATAAAAGGAAAACCTTTCTATCTCTCAAATAGGGAACAGTCCCTTATAATAAGGGACACCTACCTATAAGGAACATGTTTCTGACCCGCAGTTAACAGGCATCTTTTATAACAGTTGTTCCCAATATTTGGTCCTTCACGTATTTTGAACCTTAACTCCCAAAAGCTCCTGACAGCTTGGTCAACAGCCAGGAATTCTGGGAGTTGAAGTCCAAAACACCTGAAGGACTAAAGCTTGGGAATCACTGCTTTATAAGAAGGAACTCCTGGCAATCCTAGGCAGAAGTGACGGGGCTGAGAAATGTCTTTGCTTTTTTTCATGGTCGTCTTAATGAGTTGTGTGTGCCCGTTTGTATCTTGTCCAGAGCTCAAAAAACTTTACTCTTTTTGGGGAAGGACTATAAGTCCCAGGACCACCCCACCCACTCACTGGCTGGGAAAATTTGGGACTTACAGACCCCTAAAATGAACGTTTCTGTGCACTGATTGTGTCCTTCATTCAGCCATGGCCCTTAACACCTCTGCTAGGAAGCAGCCTCCCAAACTTTGGTGGAAAGGTGAGCCAGTTTTGAGATATGCATTTACATGTGTACACACTCCAGAGGTGATGATAAGGAAACCATGTCCCAATGCATGTTTACAAACTACCCGTGTCCCAAAGAACCTCCTCAGCTCAGCGTGCCTTTCATCAGCCGGCGCCTTTCTTTCTGCGTGGGCGGCAGCGCATGTACGGGCCGTGTGAGGCCAAGATGTTCCTATGCTACAGATGAGGTGCGACAATACCACCCTTGCCCTGTTACCACACCTTCCCTGAGTTCTTCCTGTTGTGCTTCAAACCAGAGGGCCCTGTGGGAACACCCCACGGCTTAGTTGGTGCCTAAAGTATAATACCCATCAGGTACCAAGACCAGGCGGAAGGTGTGGAGGCAAAGAAACCTCCTGAGGCAGCTGGGTTTCACACACTGGAGCAACAAATTCACCTGACTTCTGCTCTGCCATGGCCTCACGAGAATCTCTTTGCACCTGGCATGTGGTTTCAACCAGAATCATGCATTTTCCCTTGCCAAAGTCTCTTTGAGTCCCCCTCCTGGCACATCACATTACAACTCTCAGATGTGCCAGATGTGCTGCATTTTCATCCCTCGTGGTGTAATGTTTGGAGTGCGAGACTATTGACTGGAGACCAGGGTTCGATTCTCCATTTGGCCATGAAACTCACTGGGTGACCTTGTGCAAATCACAAGCTCTCAGCCTCAGGGGTGGCAATGGCAAACCTCCTCTGAACAAATCTTTCCAAAAAGACCCCAGGTTACCATAAGTTGGGAATGACTTGAAGGCAAACAACAACAACAACAACAATAACAACAGATATTTGGTTACATGAATGGGTTAGTTTGTGTTATGCATTATATTGCATCTTTAGTATTCTACCTAGATAAGTTGTCTAGTTTTATTTTATTATTCCTTCCTTCCCTCTGTGTGTATGTGTATGCACACACTTTAGACCATATGCCTCTGGCAGGGCTTCCTGTTTTTGGTTGTTGTACCTGTAAAGCGTCATGTAAATTGATGGCACTATAAAAAATAAACAACAACAGCAACAACAATAATAATAATAGATGAGGATTAGGATAATGAGGATAAGGATGCTCTGGTTGTTGGGCTGCAGCATTTCCCTCACTGTTGGCTAAGCTAGCTAGAAGGTTATGGGAGTTGCAATCCAACAACTCACCTCTGGTCTAAGTTCACAGATGTTCAAAAGAGGAGATTAACATGTCTTTGTTCCTTGCAGGCTGTACCTGGGAAATCCCATGGATCCTCCAGATGTCTTAGGAGTGGACCTGAATGCTGCCAGGCCTACCCAGCTTCCAGGAAGGACAAAAAGTAAGGCATTCCTCCAAACCCACATCTTAACCACTCTGCTTGCCCTGCCGTAGTACTGATATTTCCAACCTAGTTCCAGGTGGAACCTTATTTTATTTTATTTCATTTCACTTCTATGCTCGCACATAAAGCCATTTAAAAATTTTACCAATAAAAATGTAAAAGACAATTGAAATCAAGTAGCTTGAAAATAGTGTAAACTTTATAAAACATACCAAAGCTAAAAACATAACTAAAACACATGTCCCGTATAAAAGCCTCTTGTGCATTAAAAGCCTTGGAAAACTGCAGATGCATATTTGCATGGATTCACTGGTGGTAAGACAAGAGAACTGCAAGACCCAGCGTGCCTTTGCTGTTGCTTGCCACACGTGTGTGTTGGGTGTTGCAGTTTCTATGCCCCATTGGGACATAAAGGGAGCCTGGATATTTTTTTTCAGTTTCACGCTTGGCATATGCCACTCCTAAAAGAAATAGGAGGCAATTGTGCAACCTAGAGAGAGAGAAAGCTTTCAAAAGATAGGAAAGGGGTGGGGGAGAGAAGGAATCCAGCAGCACCTGTAAGACTGATTTATTTCAGCATCAGCTTTTCTGGAATTCAGTCCATTTCCTCAGATGCAGTTGTTGACTTCAGCCATTCATGCAAGATCTTTGTTATGTGCTGTCAAATTGATTCCAGCTTGTGGCAACCCTCTCCTATGGTTTTCTTAGCAAGCTTTACTCAGAGGAGGTTTGCCTTTTCTTTTCTCTAAGGCTGAGAAAATGCGACTTCCCTGTGGTCACCCAGTGGGTTTCCATGACAGAGCAGAAATTTGAACCCTGGTCTCCAGAGTCATAGTCCAATGCTCAAACCGCTACACCACACTGGCTCTTAAATATTTATTACAAGGGAGTTTGCCATTGCCTTCCTCTGGGGCTGAGAGAGTGTGATTTGTCCTTCCTGTGGCCAAGTGAAGATTTGAACCCTGGTCTCCAGAGTCATAGTCCAATGCTCAAACCACTACTCCATGCTGGCAAACCTTCTTGATTAAAAGGAGGTTGGTTTGCCATTGCCTTCCTCTGGGGCTGAGAGCATGTGACTTGCCCAAGATCACCCAATGGGTTTTTGATAATCAAGTGAGAATTCGAACCCTGATCTCCTGGAATACTATAGCTCTTCCACACTGCAGAAATAAAGCAGTTGGACACCGCTTTAACTGTCATCCTGTGACATCCTGGGATTTGTAAAGTGCTCTGGTGCCTCACCAAACTACAAATCTCAGGATCCTGTAGGATAGAGTCATGACAGTTCAGGTGGTGTCAAGCTGCTTTATTTCTGCAATGTGGACACACCCCTAGTCCATCACCCACACCACTACACCACCATACTGACTCAGGCTACTGAAGCTTTCATTTTCTCCTCCATCAGTGCATCTGATTCTGAAGAGGTAGATTTAAATCCATGAACACTCCTGCTAAAATAAATCTTTTAAGTCTTAAAGGTGCTGCCACTCTCCCTGTCTGCTTTTCCTTTTTATGGAGAAAAAGATGTTTTCCTGGGGCTTTTGCCAGCTTCCTGGGCTTTCCTCTGTCTTCCTGACTCCTAAAAACTGCCTTTGTTTTTTTCCGTTCTGTCTGCCACTCGTGTTTTTCAGCCATCGGTTTCCAAAGGGCTGTTTTTTGTTTAATCCGTAACACCAGGCGAAAGAAGGGGTGTGACGAACCAGTTGGTCATAGCAAGAGGATTTGCAAGCAACAACCTCCTGTCTTCAGCTGCTTGAAGAGGGCAGACTTTGAGTGGGCAGTTTTATTTATTTTAAAAGCATGTCCCTGCCCTAGAAAACTTCTCGGGGTGCTCCAGAGATGGAATTACTGTGCAATTAAAATCCAAACAATCCTTCTCATGAAACAGGAAATTCTGTTGGTGGTTGAAAAACATGGACGCAGCCAATTCTGTGCATTGATACCAATATATTATTTTGGATTCCACATTTTCAGAACAAAGAGCAGGTCAGGGTCAGCCAAGGTTTGGCAGTCCCTCTGAAGGCTCATAACATCCATAGCAAACCATCTTCTCAACTCGCTCCAGGCATCGGATGATTTACGAGAATGGTGTCCGAACTTTAGTTATGCAGCTGTTTTGGACTTCAGCTCCCAGAATTCCTGGATATTGGCCAAGTTGGGTAGGACTTCTGGGAATTGAAGTCCCAGGTACCTGAAGGTCTAAAGTTTGGGGATCCCTGGTCTTAAGCAATGTTTTCCAAACTTTCGTGATCTAGGTGTTTTGGTCTTCAACTCCGAGAATTCCTGACTGTTGGCCAAGCTTTCTGGGGCTTCTGGAAGTCCAAAACACCTGGAGGATCAAAGTTTGGGAATGATTGATTTAGGGCATGTCTGCACAGGCCAAATAACATGCCCTTCCCTTGCCTTCATAGTGATCAATCCACACAATGCAGGGCCTGATCCTTGATTCTGGTACTAACTATCCTGATGACATTCAAGACAAAAACCATGTTATCCCACCACGGATTTAAAAAACTCACCTTTCGCTCCAGCTCTTTCCAGAAAATTTGGAGCGATGCCAAGGGGCTGTTCACACGTGCATCCCTCTGTGCTGCCCACCACCATTGGAACACGTCCATCCTTCTGGGGTCAGAATGGGAAGCCAAGCCATGTGGTTGACATTGGGTGCCTTATTTTCAGCCTCAGAGGGAACAACTCATGCTGACAGTGGCGGATGGCACAGCAAGACATGCGTGTGAACATCCACCTGGCATCACCTGGAGTGCCCAGGAGATGGAGGGGATTTGGGGAATCTTTAGTACCAGAATAATTGGGGCCACTCTCAATTGGGAGTGACTGCCCCACCAGTGTTCGCCCCCATTATGAGGTGTCACCTGCACCTCTGCACCCCCTTAGTGACATCCCTGGGCCCCAATCCCTGGAGACAGATCCCTGGAGCTGCTGTGGAGGGGAAAATGAGAACAAGAGGCACCATGCATCATGGAAATTTTGCATGGCCTCCAATGTCACTTGCTCAATCTCTGGAGGCTTTGCAGGAGCTCAACACAAGCTGCACGTGCATCTTTTTGCAGGGTGCCAAATGCTGGTTGCTCTCTGAGACCCACACTTTGACCTTGCACACTCGAGAATCTGGATATTCATTAGGAATTTGGATGTTTCACAAAAAGAAAACTGACACCCCACACAACACTTGCCAGGCATTGTGTAGATGTGGAGCAAAACTGCTCTGGCTAGGATGTGGTTCTTCCCCTGTTCTCGGCCGTTTTTGCCAGCTGCCTGCTTCACTCACACAGAACCTTTACTGGAGCTTGGAAAAGTCACCCTTGGGACTACAACCCACAGAATCCCCTAGCCAGCAGAGCCCACAATCTCCACCTCCAAGCATGGTGCCATGAAAAGTAACTTTTCCAAGTTCAGCCTCTGCCCTTTGCATGATCCTGCAGAACTAATATGCTGCTCTTTCTTTTTCCTTCTCTCTAATTTCTTCTCCTTCGGTGGGGGTCTCTCCGTTCCGCCTCTCCCTGTAGGGGAGCGTCCTCCACGGCCGCCTCAGCCCTTGATCCTCCTAAAGAGTAAGTGGGGCCGCTTCCCGGGCCGCCGGCCTCCCTGTGCCTGCCCTCTCTGCTCTCTCTTAGCTCCTCTCTTCACAGGTATCTGGGGAAGTGGTGTCTGTTGACTGAGCATCTTGCCTTGCAACCACCGGTGTGTCTGCTTGTTCCCTCTGCGCAGAGGTACCCTGAGACTGCATGAGGGTTTCAGGACATGCACCTGAAGCTCAGTGTACATAAACTGGGAGTCTATCCACTGTATTCTGCTTTTCTGTACTACTGTGCAAGTCAGCTTACTGTAGCACTTGTAGATTAAAACCTGTATGTAGAGAGATCTTGTAGCACCTTAGAAACTAATCTGAAAGAAAGAAATTGGCAGCATGAGCTTTCGTAGACTTCAGTCGACTTCCTCAAATGCATTTGGATGGCCATCTGAGTCCAAATGCATCTGAGAAAGTAGACTGAAGTCAACAAAAGCTCACACTGCCAACTTCTTCCTTTCAGTTAGTCTCAAAGGTGCTACAAGATGTCTTTACATACAGGTTTTATTATCTGGAATTTATCTTTGAATTCTACCAGATTAAAACTTGTGAGGCAAATAGCAGCAGATAAGGGGACACTTGAGCTATCTTTAAACATTAACACACACACTATATCTCCAAGTAGTTGTGGCTCTCGGCTTTTCAGAAGACTTTGAGTAGAATCATAGAATTATAGAATTGGAAGAGACCCCAAAGGTCATCCAGTCCAACCCACTGCCATGCAAGGACACACAATCCAAGCACTCCCAACAGATGGCTATCCAGCCTCTGTTTAAAAACCTCTGCGTATTCCACCATCGAACAACTCTTACCATCAGGATGTTCTTCCTAATGTTAAGGTGGAATCTCTTTTCCTATAGCTTGAATCCCATTTCTCCATGTCCTAGTCTCTGGAGCAGGAGGAAACAAGCTGGGTCCATCCTCAATATGACATCTTTTCAAATACGGTATATCTGTTTTCTGATAGGATGTCCCCATTGTACAATTATAACATTTCAATACCACTTTATTGACTGTTGTTCTATCCTATGGAATCCTGGGATTTGTAGTGTGGAGAGGGACTTCCCTGCCAGAGAATTTGAATGCTGTAGTTCTGGAGACTGCAGTAATTCAGTTGTTTTCAAATGTCGTGCTTCAGACTTCAGCTCCTAGAATTCATAACCGTTATTAGCCAAGCTGTCTGGTACTTCTTGAAACTGAAATCCAATCTATGTGAAAGGCCAAATTTTGGAAATCATTGCACTAGAGAATTCTAATTCCTGCAACCAAACTACTAATCCCAGTATTACATAGGATGAAGCCATGGCTGTTCCAGTGGAATCATGGTGTTATAATTTTGTTGTGTGAAAGTGTCCTTAGCCATTAAATTACTATCCAAGTGCCATAATTTTGCAGCGTGGATACGTTCCAGAAAGTGAAATACACAAAATTCTTCCTGGCAGCAGAGCCAAGAGCTGCTGAACTACAACAGTTAAGGTGTTGTTGCTGCTGCTGCTGCTGCTGTATGCATTCAAGTCATTTCTGATTCATGATAACCTTAAAGCGAACCTATTATGGGTTTTTCTTGACAAGATTTGTGCAGAGGGGGTTTGCCTTTGCGTTCCTCTGAGGCTGAGAGAATGTGACTTGCCCAAGGTCACCCAATAAATTTCCATGGCCAAGCAGGCATTCGAACCCTGGTCCTAGTCCAATGGCTTAAACCATAATGCCACTCGCTAACGTTTGGTTCTGTCCCACCAACTCCATAGCCCATTGTCCCGCTTCATCGTAACCCTGAGGTTGATTAATCTAGGAAGAAACTCTCTCATTTTTGTTTTCACACATTTCTAAGTGGCATTCAACCAGAGCATGGGGGGGGGGAGTTTTTTTGATGGGATGATAACAACTTCCAGAATCCCCAGCCCGCATTTTGCTAAGCTCTCTTCTAGCCTTACAAATCCTCTGCAACATGCATTTTCCTCCTTTTACGGAAATCCATAAAAGACATTTTATTTCCTCTCTCCCTTTTCAGCAATACAACTGTGCCTTTGTAGCCTTAATAAACTAATCCCTTCTTTATTGCATCTGCACTGCAGGAATAATCCAGTATTGACATCTTTTTAACTGCCATGGATGGCTTAAAGCTATGTATGGAGTTCCGGGAATTGTAGTTTGCTGTAGTACCAGAGCTCTTGGGCAGAGATGGCTAAATTTCTCACAAAACTACACTTCCCAAAATTCCATAACATTGAGCCATGGCAGTTAAAGCGGTGTCAACCTGGATCATTTCTGCAGTGC